TGACAAATAGCTTACACTGTGGACTAAATTAATCTTTTCGTTAAGATAGACATTTTAAAACCAAAAAATCGAAAAAACAATACTCTCTGGAGTCTACAAAATCTTGAATATAATTCTTTTATCCTCTTCCAAATGGCGAAGACACCATTTACGTGAGTATATCCGTGTTAATGAAACCACGCCAGTCGTTTTTTCTTTTCGTGGAGCTCTTCCTCTGCCTTTATATCCATTGGCATTTTGCTTCGAATATTTCCACGGCGTGAACAGCTGAACGTTTCATTGTTTGTAGCATTCAGCAAAAACTTTCTCTTGAAAACTCTCAGGGTCAGTTTATCAGATATTGCCTTCGTCAAGTCTTCAACATCATACAGACCTTCGCAGCGCGCAAAGTTGTAGTTGTTGTAGTGGTTCGCTAGCCCCGCTTAAGGACATGCTTATCAATCTAAGTCTCCGAGGTTATTCAACGGGAGGTCCAGAAAAAGCGCCGTTTCAACGGTTTAGACCAGGGGAGAGGGAGGTTGGATGCATCGGTTTCAGAGGGTGTATAAAAAACAGGTTAGGATCATGCGGGGACTCAATACATGCTGAACTTACGCTGGGTATGTTGGGGTTGAGTCTGGATAAGTAGGAACTTAACCTACTACAGTATTCAAACCCAAGCGGCGCCAGTATTACGTGGCTCTTTCGAGGCAGCTCAATTTCTTCGTCTGTTATGGGAGGTGGCTTAACTCCGTGTAGGCCATTCACAGGAAATAAGTCGTTGAAGCTGTTAACTGACGGCTGGTGAATGGCGTTCAGTGCCAGTCTTTAAGTCGTCCTGTGCAGCGGTTGTTGAACGTGTTGCTGGGTGGTGTCTTTCAAGTCAAATACTCCCTTTCAGATGTACTTGTGTGGAGATCCAATAAGATGCCTATTGGGGTGTTCCCTGCGATATCATTCAACAGTAGGAGGCACTGCTGACCAGTTCTTATATATTGCACTTATTTGTCACGAATGATGAGTTAACAAACAGACAAACATTTACTGTGAAAAAGTCCTCAGCGTGTCTTGCTCTATTTTTCTATTTTTTTATTCAACCGAATGTCGCATTTGCCGAACCGAGATTCTGACGTTGGTATTCTACAACACGCCCTCTAGGCCATACACATGCATGCTCGCGCTTATCGTGTTAATGACTTACTCTGCACAAAAGCCGATATCGTGCAGAGATAAAAAGGAATGAAACTAAATGGAATATGATGTTTGGCACAACAACAACAAAAAAATTAGGAAAATCGGCTACAAGTGCGAATAGACGTTAGAAAATCCAAGCTAAGATTTTTAGCGCCATTCAATTCATTCTGTGTAACGCTCCGCGCACACTCAAGGTCGGTAAGAATCAGCGGCAATGAAGTAGCAGCAAACCTTCCATATACAAACATACACGAAATAAGCCGATGTAGTATTAATTATCCTTTATTCCGCCTACTGCGCGCTCGGAGCTTTTTGTTATTTTTGTTGTGTTTACTTGACTGCCTTTGCTGTTTTCGCCGCCAGGAAATTGTTTTTTTTTCATCTTATTCTGCGTACATTCTCGCTGCAGTCGCTTAATTTTTGCTTGTTGCGGAGGAGAAAAATTCCTTTGAATCTTCTTACACTTTTTGTATACTTTTCGCGATTTTGTATAGCTTTAAGCAGACTCAAGAGTGCTTTAGCTAAGGCCGTTACTATGCATCTAGCAGGCATGCCCACCCCCAAAGCCATTGCCTTTAAAGCTAACGAAGCAGCGAATTTCGACATTAAAGCGAATTTAAGTAGAGCGATGCGTCGTTTAAATTTCAGCGTGAGTTAAGTAAATGAAGTTGTAGGCGCGCTCTTCGGTGATTTGATGAACTGCACGAGACGTTTGCCTTCCTTTCTATTGAGAAGTTTTTTTTTTAAATTTTTCTTTGACTTTGAAAAAAAACCAAAAAAAAAATCATAGTAACTTTTTGTCACTTTGGGAAATCTCTCTCTTGTTTTGTTAATTAACGGTAATGCGATAAGCTTTAAGGCAAAATTTAATTAAACGAAAAAACGGTCAACTGTAATTTGAGAAAATAAATAGAGAGAAAACATAAAAAACATTTAATTAGTATAAGAATTACAAAAATTTATGCCTTTCTTTTATCAATTTTGGTGGAGTGAAATGCAAAGAGATATCCTTTCTCTCTTTCTACAAAAAATAAAGTAAAAATAGATTAAAAAATAAGTAAGAAAAGCCTGATAGCGGACTGTTTGATAAATGAAATATTTCATGCGAATGCAAAGAAAGAATTGGATGCCAAATGTAGAGATTAAGCAATCCTGCCCTTCTTCTGCTTCAAATGAAGTCATTTGGATTTGCATTGTCTGGACTATAACCACTTTAACTAACCTCTTCTGCTCGAAATAAATTGAGCTTTAACACCTTGAGTATCAATGCCTGTGAAATCCTTGCAGTTTGTGAGACAATTTTTACAAAGAGTTCACGAAACCGGTTCGTTATCAAACAAACGAGCTCGCTTGCGTGTTTTTCCAGTGGATTCAGAGAAAAATATTGCTGTTCGAATTAAACGCACTTTCCGGTGCGGGATCCTGTTAAAACACCAGGGAATGAAGGCTTGAAAATACAGAAACTTCCTTAACATCGGCTCGCTCAATAGGCTTGACACAGAAGATAAGCTAATTTTTAACTTATCGGCTGCAACAGTTCCATTTTGGGCTTTGTTTCGCTTCACTGGCTTTCCTTGGTTTCAACTGATCGTAGTATACCCTCTAGTTTCACCAAATGCAGAGCATGAACTTTGGTCCGTTGATGTTTTACATTGGCGTTGATGTAGAAGATGATAGAACAGGTTCATCAGGCTTTAGTCTTTAGTCTTTGCATAATATTTTTTCTTCCTAATTTTATCGCAGTTTCCCTATGACTCTTAAGGCCTGAGCCGCTTTTAAGATGACTCCAACCATTGCACTGGTTGCACCTAACCGAGGTGGAGGAGTGGTGGAGTCTTTTCTGGCCCACGTAGTAGAATTATTGGTTGGTTTCAACGCCAGCCCCGGTAAGAAGGACTTGGAGCAACCCAGCTGCGGGGTGTTGCTCCGTTGGCAGACTTAAATTAATGTTACCTGTTGATCTGAACGGGGTTAGGTCGTCGAAAATTTGACAGCCCATGGCCGGATAAAATCCAGGTCAACTCCGGTGCGTAGAATCGCCTTTCTTGAGAGTTGCTCCGAGGAGTACATATTTGCTACTGAGAGACCGCAATAAAAAATCAGAACCAAAATACTTTTAAAAGTAGTTTTCTATAAATTTCTATGTTGGTCTCGTCAGAAATCAAACCCATGGCCCATCGCCTGGGACTTCGCAATACTTAACGGCTAGCGCAGCCGCCATATTAATACGTCATTTGGGTAAATTCTTTTTCATATTTTAAAATATTTCTGTAATCGCAGATCAGCGATGTATCAAGGTCTTTATTAAAGTTCCTTATAGGATCAAATATTTTGTCGATGTTCTGTGAGGAGATTGTCTGCCTCAGGGTAAGAAAGTTATAAGGTGTGAAAATAATGGTGGCTTTGATAGTCTAATAAAATTTCTGTAGAACTTTCGAGTTTATCATAAGCTTATGTCATAGCTTTAAGCTCTCAAGCCATGTTCCAATCCATCAGCTTTGCTCTGGAAACAAGCATTATTCCAGTATCAGTATCCAGTATAGCAGGATGGTAAAGAATTGCGACATTTAGAGCTGAATGCGCATAAATTTTATGTATGTCATGTCAGAAATACACTCGGATAGCCGATTGGGAGTTAACCGATCCAAGACTTGAACCCTGGCCTTTAGAATGTCCTCATGCAATACTAATCCCTCGGATATTGCGGCCGCATTAATAGTTTACGGGTAAAGTTCAAACTTAAAGTTTTCAATATATATTTTATTGGAAAAAATTTTTTCTCAGACAAACTCTCGACTTAGTCTACATCTGAGAGCTTTCATCCCGGTTATGATCATGACGGTAAGTGCGGATGACTTAACCTAACCAGCGTTGCCGGCACCTTTAGAACCTTTTAAAAAGACGAATGGTGTCTAATTAGACAAGTTGTTGTTGTTGTTGTATCCGCAAAAATATTCCCTAAAGTACTTTTTCGGGAATGTTGCGGGAGTGATAGTCCTTGGCCGGATAAAAATCCAGGTCGTTCCGGTATAAAGACCCGACTGTCACGGCAACTATAAGATGTTAGTCGCCTCTTACGACAGGCATGCCTTACGCGGGTAAATTCTTGTACCCCTAACCCACTGGGGGGTCTACTTAAGCAAGGACGCTATTGTTGCTGTAGAGCAGAGTTTCGAAGTATACTTGAATTTGTTTAACTGCGATTGCGCGCTATCTATGTCAATCCACTTGCTAAAGAATTTTATTTTGCCAGATCCAGCTCCTACAAGATTTGGAGTCGGACGATCAAAAAGCGCGTTGCGCGTCCGGTGAATTGACTCAAAATAAGATGACCTTTGGTTATCACCTTGCTTACTACACTGATAAGTATAGTCTACCGTATGACCAGAGTAAATAAATCTTGGTTTATAAATTGGGTGCATCAGGGTAAGATCATCGTCACTTCTCAGACAATTGGTTGTTGAATTGATCTCTTTCAACCATTTTCTGAAGAATTTTTTTCGCTTATTGTAAAGATAGTATACATAAAAATATGCACAGTCCTGCAAAATCCTTAAACCTTCTTATGGATCTATCTTTTTCGAAGAAGACGGAGATAAGAATAAATTTTTTTCTTAAAATTTAAATTAAATTTTAATTAAAGAATTAAACTGAAACAAATATTTTTCTTTAATAATATAATAAAATAATATTTAATAATATTTTAAAATATTTTTATATGGATGCAGTTTTGTAAGATTTGTTTATGGCATTGGAATATATAATGAAATTATCTTGTGTATTCTTAGTACAAATTGAAAATAAAAAATTGAAAATTGCAAACTTACCTTAATTTCCTAACCCGCATCACAGAGATAATGACAAGAAGATTGCCGAAAATGGCTGCAATTATGATGAACAACATCAGCGATGCCTTAAACACTAGAAACAAAACATCGAACCACTCGCTGCCATTTAACGCAGCGCCATCCACACCTGCCACACCATCCTCGCCCGCGCCACCATCGTCCAGCAGTGTGGCATTGCTGGGTGGCAGTGTAATGCCGGACGCGCCCAGCAACGTTGATGTGGCATTGGAATCCAATTGTGAGAGTACCCCATTATCCAGCACGGCCTGCGATTGAGGTGTCAAATGTTTCGCTGCAATGCCGCCGCCGCCATGATGTGATTGTGCATGTGTTGAGGCGGCAGCGGCCACGGCAACGCTGGTATGTAACAGCGCGGCCGCAAAGGCTGTGCTCAGGTTGAAGCCGAGGCTGGAGGCGCGTGCACGTGATAGACTGGGTGGTGGATGTGTTGTTGTTTCTGTTGTTGCTATAGTGGCACGACGTCGGTAGCTGGGATGTTGTTGCTGTTGTTGTTGTTGGTGGTGGTGGTGGTGTTGATGCAACAGACGGCAGGTTGTATCTGTTGCACTTGTTGCAACCATTAATCGCGGTGGCGGCGGTGTTGTGGTTGCTGTGCGCGACATTACGCTCAACGTTGCAGTTGCAGTGGCTGCTGCTGCTGCTGGTGATGGTGGTGGTGGTGGTGGTATTGTGCATTGGTGCAGAAAGTCTTTAATGTTTGAGGTCGCCGCTGAGTCGGCATAATATGCCGATTTGTTGGCTGTTGCTATTGGTGTTGTTATTGTTGTAGCATTTGTTGCTGCCACCGCACGGTCGCATGTGGTACGCTGTTCGTCGGGTTCAACGCACACATTTCGTCTCTTTCGTCGTTTCGCGGACGCGCTTGTAGTTCTGTTCAATTTGGCACTCACTATATCAATTGTTGTTTTTGTTGTTGTTGCTGTCTCGGGTAATCGTATTGCATTTGTTATATTATGCTGCATTATATATACGGGAAGCATATCTGTTGCCAAAATATTGGTAGACATTTTCGTTGAACTCTTTGTGGTTGCACAAATGGATTTTGATTCTTTTTTTTATAATTTTTAATTATTTTTTTTTGTTTGTTTTCGGTTCAACTCAAGCGCACTTTCTACGCATCAAATTTTTTTCACTTTTTCATTTTACCGTTATTCATATTATATCTATCTACCGGTACTTCAGAATATATTTTACTTGGATTGCTGTGGAAAGAAATGAGATATTTTTTTTAGTTGGCAATAAACTTTGACTTTTTCGTTAATTTAAGTGTGTAATAATATTTTTTATAAAAATTTTTAAATATTTTTTTTTTATTTCTTCTTTTTTTGTAACTTTTCTGCAAAATTTATCTATCAGTTTTTTTTTTTGTATTAATCGAATTTCAAAACTTTATTTTTTTGTTAAAATTTTTTTTTTTTCGGCCACCTTTTCATTCTACTATTTGCCCATCGTTGGGACACCGCAAGCAAATATTCCGATATAACACGCGCGTTATGTTCTCTACGCCCCGAATTGAACTGCAGGCCGCATAACGGAAAGTGTTCTATCGACCATTCGCGCCGCTCACGTTGTCAGCGGCCTGTCCCTGTTGTTGTGTCACACGTCACCAGAGCGGCCATGCGCGCCGCTGTACCCTCATCGTCAGCATGCTCAATCCATCCGCCATCAATAACACCACCAACGCTAAAAATGTTTTGCTTCTTTGATTTTGTTGGTGTTTTAGGTGGTGCGCGCTGTTTTGTTATTGTTGTTATTTTTGTCGTTTGCTAATCCTTGTTATTGTAATTTTCTTTTACGTCTAGCTGTTGTTGTTGTTATTGTTGTATTTAGCTGTCACTGTCACCAACACCGTCACCTTCACCGCGAACCGCGTGGCAAGATTGCGGCTAGGCTCGGCGCTGGATGTGAACGGCTGTGTTGTGTGGCTAGTGTTGTTGTTTTTGTTGTTATTGTTGTTTTTGTATTTTGCTGTTCAGCTTGCTATACGGAATTGTGTTGCTATTGTTTTTGTTTTTTCTTGTTCTTTTTGTCTTTTTGGTGAACACTGTCTCTTGGCCGCTGCCTGATTGCTCTTAATATTTTGATTTTATTGCTTTGCTTTGTTTCTTTGCTTTTGTTGTTGTGCTGTAATTGTATTTGTTTATTTATTTATATTGTTGCTGTTGTTGGTTTCTTTCTGAAATTTTTAATATTTGTTTGAGATATATATGTATTGTGTGTAGGTGTGTGTATATTTTCAATATATTTTTTTTTTTTTTTTTTGCTTATACGCTTGGACTTGCCAAGTGTGTTTTCAATTTCATGAATTTATTATTAACAAATTTATATTTAAAATGCGTATTTCTTTAATTTTATATATGTATATGTGGTGCTTCAATATTTTCATTTATTTATTTTTCGGGTATGAGCATACAGATCTACTACGAATGCTGTTCTTTGGATTGAATTGGGGATATTCTTAACTTCGCTTTTCTACTTCCTAATAAACTTTAAACTCATTATTAACTTAAATTTTTTTTTTTAATTTTTATTTAAGAACAAATTTTCCCTTAACTATTTTCTGCATTGAAAAGTTTGGTCTTGCTCTAACCGCATTTTTTTCGTTTTATTTTTATTTATTTCAATTATTACCAGTTTTCTAAAGTAAAAAATATTCCCTTCGGTTTTCTATTCATAATTTTTGTTTTCTATTTTTATTTGAATATTATATATTTTTTTGTATGGTTTTGTGGTTTTGTTGTTTTTGCTGTTGAATAAAATGAACTCACATTTAGTGCAGCAAAGTTTTCGAGGACAAAATTTGGAAATGTGCGAAATTGATGTTTGGTTCGATTATGACACTTGCATTTACATACACTTTCCAAAAAAAAAAATTGTGGGATAAAATATTAGCGAAGTGAAAAAAAAATAAAAGCATGTTGTTGCTTTGAAACTAAAGCTTCCAGTGATGCCAATCCTGGTTCACGGTTAAATACCTACTAAGGCAAATTTTGAATCGGGCTGGATCATTAGAATCACAAAGCGGGGTGGCCTTCGTTGGCATGATACATACATCAACTTATTTGCAGAATGTAGTCGGACGACAGCTGTCCTGTGGCCAATACATAAAAATGTATTTCAATTAAGGTAAGTGCGAAAGATTAGAGCCCAACGTCTTGAACTAATTGAAACTCTTGAGTGTGGCTTCATATTTGCGATTAACTAGTGACTATATATGTACCATGAGTCACATTTTGAAAAATATCTATTACAAAATGATCATCGCACACTGCCTTTTCGTCGATTTTATTATCACAATATTGAACGACCCTGGGGAATACCGCAAGTGCAGTCAGAATGGGGAAGGACTGCTTTTTGTTCTTCGATACTAAATGAGTTATGCGGCTTGTGTGCTTATTTTAACTTAATTCTGAAGAAAATAATATGAGCTACAGCGCTCAACACAGAAGGTGCAGTCTGCATGTTGGCACGTGCTGATGATACTCCCATTACTAACCTCAACAACAGTACCGTTAGAGCTCCGAAGGCGAAATGTGTTCTTGAACAAATAGACAGTCATAACGGTGAAGTTCTAAATAATCTTGTCTGTGGAACCATCATTAACGGTGAAAACAAAATCAAATTGTTTATCATTCTCGTCATGCCTACAGCCGATAAATCAACACTTGGAGTTTTCGTGAAGGAGGCTTTGAGGAAGTTTTATGGTTCTGTACGAACTACATAGGTTGGGTCACGTTACTTCAGTAGACTTGATTAGACACCTTCACTTGGTTAAAAAAAGGTTCTGACTTCAATTTTGGTATATGCAATTACTTAGTCTCTAGCGTTAATTCTCTTAATACTTAATCGACCTTTGCGGCGCCGGTAGCACAGTGGTCCTGGTAAGATCAACATCCAAAATCGGCAGCGAATGTCAACCCTTCCGAGTATATTTCTGACATGAAATAAAGGCTCCTTATAAAAAAGCCATCAACCGTTGGGGGACGGCTAAGTATAAACTGTTGGTCCCTCCATTTGTTGGAAAAACTTCAAGACGCAAAACCACAAATTGTAGAAGGAGCTCGGCTGGAAATCGTTTCAGTGGTTACAAAGCGCCAATTATATATTAAAACGATCTTAGCGTATCCGTTTTGGGTAGAATGTGCTTTTCATATTCAGGTACTGATAAAACATATGCGATCTAAGCGCTAGCCATTGTTTAATCACTTTAAATTGGAAAAATTATTCGTCTGACTTTTTTGAATTTTCAAGGAAAAGTTTGTGGTTTTACTTGAGCTGAACTAACTCCTATGTTACTTGTATGCTTATTAAATTATTAAATTCTGAAAATCACTATGAGCATCACACAGTTTTCGTAATGAACTGATTTATATTGAACAGATGTGCAAACCATGTCCGTGCTCTGTCCTTTGTGCCCACGGCAGACAACAGTTGGCCACATGAAAACGCGTCAATGCGTCAAGCGAACCAACCGGCTTGCGGCGAAGAGCAGCAACAGTGGTTCATAATCTAAAGAGTTTTAGCAAGCTGGCCAAGGCGACGGCCGACGGGCAATTGGTGATGGTGTCAGAATGTCATATTTTGTTAAATATTTTCATATATTTATATTTTCATTATTATAGGCAAACACGTTTTTGGCGCAACGTTGCTGGGTTATTTTTATTTTATCGCTATGTATTTGTGGAATATATTATTATATTTACATATATATTCAGATACTTGAATATATCACACGGATGTGTGGCTTATAATATTTTGATTTTCAATACTTTTACGAGTTACTTTTCAATTTTGGCGTTCATGTTTACTTATATTATTAATATAAATATACAGATATGTATGTATGTAGTTTATTTTTGTGGCATAATATGTACGTATGCATGTATGTATGTACAAGTATATGTAAGCAGTGAAATTTATTTTATTTCCGAAGTAGAAATTCATTATTCAACAATAGACTAGTATTTAACTAGTATGAAGCTGATGCATGAAGCTTCCACTTTACGTTAAAATTACCAGTCGCGTAAGTGGGAAACAAATTGAAGATCAATTAAATAAAGTAAATCTGTGAACTAACTGATACTAGTACCTTTCTATGCAAATTACACATGTATTATATGCATGTGTGTCTCATTGCCTAGCATATTTAGATTTATATTTTATTTGGTTTTGATTTAATAAGCTTTTAATTTTTCGCCCGTCAAGTTCTGGGTAGCCTATATATATTTGTAGGCATAAATGTATGTGTGTACCTATTTATATGTATGTATTTTGTATATGCTCGTTTGTAGATTGGCAATTAAAATATTCTGTCACCGTGAAATGATTTTCAAAGCCAAGTGGCTATCAAAATTCGCGCACCAAAGCCCACAAAACTAAAAAAGCAAGGAAAAAAAAACAACAACAAAAATCAGCGAAAAATTTATAAATACATACATACAAGTATAATGAAGAAATTATTCTCTATGGGGTTTCTGTGCGAAAAAAAAAATGGAAAATGCTTAAAATAAATTAAAAAATATATGATTTTTAGAAAAGAGAAGAAACATGCCGCACAGTGGTAACTGAGGTGGTCAAATATATAACAGGGCGATTTTTAGACGTATGGTTTTCAATGAGGCAATATTCAGTCGAAATAAGCGCTCAGCAAAGTTGGTAATTAGAGCAGCAATGGATCGATTATGCACGACATTTAATCTAGTGGATCCTTAGGGATGTCGTATTTGCTGCAGTGAAGCAGATTATCAAAGTTGCGGCTGTGCCGATCTAGTTTTTGGAAGATTTTCGGAATGGATCTTGGTTTGGGAGCCTACAATATCCAACTCGTGCAAGAAATGAAGCCGATAACAATTAAAGGCATCGCACGATTAGGAATAATTTGAATATGAATATGTGGTCTTAGCAGTGTAATAGTCAATCATGCGCAATCTTAAGTTTCGTGGAAGGCGAATTGTCGATGAAATGATGGGAATCCCCAAATCTGACCATCATGCGAGCACTGTTTTGATTGCTTAGAACAGTTCGGAAGCACTTAAAAAAGGCCAAATACACAAAGAAGCTCGATGTATGTATGCAATTGATGAAAAACGTCCAATTTTGGCCAATCGCAAAGGAGTTCTTTTCCATCATGACAACGCCAGGCCACATGTTGCAAAACCGACCCTGGCCAAACTGAAGAAGAAGAATTGGGAAATCATGCCGCATCCCCCATATTCACCCGACATTGCACCTTCTGACTATCATTTGTTTCGATCGCTGCAGAACA